AGAATGATCACATATTTATGTGTATTATGCTGCTGCTATACATTTCCACGTGCTGGTCATGATGATGATGACGATACACCACTTCGTCGATATATAAATTTTGATAGCCAAATCTCTTCTGAAAAAGATCCATACAGCTCAGTGGGCATCTGCTCCCGCGTCGACGCTTCTCTGCCTTCACAAAAACCTGGAATGACCAGCAATGTGAAGGGTGCTCCAATAATGCCCAGCAAAGACAAAGATCCCCTATATAGCCTGAACAGACTGTTGGGGCAAGTGCTGTTAGCGAGTAGCACCTACGAAAGCCGCCACTGCACGCAAAGGGATGGGTGGCCAGCACCACGCCCGGGACACCTTTGTCTTCCTAGTTGTCATGTTTACACACCTCACCAGGTACTCATTTGAGGCTGAGTCGACCTAGGGGAGTCCCAGGACCGGTTTCAGATAATTTTCACCTGTGTTGGCCGTGAGCGGGAATCGAACTCTGGTTGCCAGGTTCGTAGCGCAGCGCGCTAACCTGCTACACTACCGCGTCCCACACTCGCCCACCACACACACACAGTGGCTTTGCACGCTCTCATTCACACAGATTTCTTCTCACACTGGTCAAATATAGCCTTTAGCCCATGTCATGGAAACTGTTCACCAGTTGTTTGCCATCTCAGGTCACTCTTGATGATGGTGGGGTGAAGGAGGGTGGGGCGGTGGTTAATTTAAAAATGTTTGCTGCCGTTTCCAACGCCGCCGATTTTTACCCCAGCACCACCACCACCACCACCCCGGTCGTGTTATTATTCGTGTCGTCACACCAAGAAGATGGAGATTAAGAATCCACGAGAAGACAAATCTTCTCACCGAACACCGTCAGGCCACGATGCCTGCGCCGTGTCGTTAGAAGAACGTTGCACGGAAGAGGACATCCTGACGTCCCGTGTTCTTCAAGAGACCTCTGGTCCACGCAAAATCAGCAGAGGGCAGCGTTTTCCCCACCCGCTCTGCCATGTGAGAGCAAGGTTCGTCGCATGCTGGTCAACCCGATATTTTAATTAAACTAAGTCTTGTTAAAATAGAACGACGCACACAACTGGTAGTGGTACACACCTGATGGCGGACGCTTGTGTTGCGCCCGAAACGTCGTGATTAAATTGATTTTATTTGATACCTACGTGACTTTACCGCAAGAACCAAAGTGTAGGGGTACACAGTTGGCAGAGAGAAGGCCAATATGTACGTACGTTAAACTTCTTTCGCACCGTACATAGCCAACCGTGCTAATGTATGTGTTAAACTTATTTAGTACCGTACATAGTCAACCGTGCTAATGTATGCGTGTTAAACTTATTTAGTACCGTACATAGCCAACCGTGCTAATGTATGCGTGTTAAACTTCTTTCGTACCGTACATAGCCAACCGTGCTAATGTATGTGAACTTCTTTGTACCATACGTAGTCAACCGTGCTAATGTATGCGTGTTAAACTTCTTTCGTACCGTATGTAGCCGACCGTGCTAATGCATGTTGAACTTATTTTGCACCGTATGTAGCCAACTGTGCTAATGTATGTATGTTGAACTTATTTTGCACCGTATGTAGCCAACCGTGCTAATGTGTGTATGTTGAACTGCTTTTGCACCGTATGTAGCCGTCTGCGCTAATCTGAGGTGCGGGGCAAGGACAACTCGAGCACAAAAAGCAGTTCTAAAGAAACGAGTTTTCAATCTAAATTAAAAAAATATGGGTACACAGTTGACAGGAATAGGGCTGATAGGGGTACACAGAGAGAGATTACTTTATTTAGTCCATGTCTTAACTGCTGCATGCTAAGGTTACATTTATTTTTTGAATACATTGAAGACAATAATCAAGCGACAGGTTTTGAAGTTAGTTGGCAGTTTTTATCTTTCTTCCTCGGGACGGAAAATGTCGAAAGATGATGGCTTGCTCAATCTGACCGGAGCAGCATGCAAAACGTTTGATACATTATTTGGCGGTGGTAATGCTGCTGCCGCGTTTCACAAGAGCAGCTAAAAACACATGTACGCGCTATGGAGGAAGCCCAATGCCTGAAATGTCACCTGTTACAGGGACTTACGAACATTCGATTTACGAACTTTTAGATATACGAACAAACCTCTCCGTATGTCCAGTTGCCCGTTCGGACCGAGAGTCGTAAGTTCAACAGATGTGCAATAGATGGCAGCGGTGGCATCTACATCTGCAGAACGTGAAGAACCAGTGGCATCTACATCTCCAGAACGTGAAGAATCAGTGGCATCTACATCTGCAGAACGTGAAGAACCAGTAGCATCTACATCTCCAGAACGTGAAGAACCAGTGGCATCTACATCTGCAGAACGTGAAGAACCAGTGGCATCCACATCTGCAGAACGTGAAGAACCAGTGGCATCTACATCTACAGAACGTGAAGAACCAGTGGCATCTACATCTGCAGAACGTGAAGAACCAGTGGCATTTACATCTGCAGAACGTGAAGAACCAGTAGCATCTACATCTCCAGAACGTGAAGAACCAGTGGCATCTACATCTGCAGAACGTGAAGAACCAGTGGCATCCACATCTGCAGAACGTGAAGAACCAGTGGCATCTACATCTGCAGAACGTGAAGAACCAGTGACATCTACATCTGCAGAACGTGAAAATCCAGTGGCATCTACTACTACAGGAGATTATACAACTTTTAAAGCCATTCCTCCATATTTAGTGTAGATGGCATACAACATGTTTGGAATCAACAGGAGTAAAGTTGGACTTACAAACAGGCCTCTGGAACCTAACTCGTTCGTAAGTAGAGGAGTCCCTGTTATATAGATTGTTTTTCTTTAAAGGCCACAGACACGCGCACTGTGATCGATGACTGTGTTTAGTTTTTGCCGTGTGATGTTTAGTTTGTTTTCCCCCCTCCGCTCCACCTCCCACTCCCCTCCTAATAAAAAAAAAGATGATCAAACTCGTGCCGCTATTGATGTGACATCGCGAGAAGTCGCTGCTGATCGCGCAGTCGAAATCCAGATTAGTTTTCATTCTCCGAGTTGGAGTTTACGTGACGTTGGCGTTCGACGGCACAGAGGGGTTTGGTTTTTGCGTCACAGTCATCGGTCGGCGGGCTGGGACCGTCAATTTGTAACACTTGAGAGCGCCGTTTAATCACAGATAAACTCTTTATGAGTATCTATAGAAGTAAATAAAATAAAAAATGTATGTTTTTACGAAAATAAAAACATAATTTTTCGTAAGAAAAGATAGTAAAAAAAAATATATTAAAAAAATTCGTGTAAAAATATAGTTATATATCATATATATACAAATAATCAATTATATATACTTTTTATATTTAATATATATTACAAAATATAAAATCATTTATACAGGGTACCCCATACGTCTGGAACCATAGCAAAAATAATACGAAAAAGGCAATAACGCCTTTAAATTTTGATTTAAAGCTTTCGTGACTGCAGGGATTCATATTCTTGGTTCTTTCGGTAAAGTCACGTAGAAGGGAAACAAAATAATAAAAATATAAAACAAAATGATCACGACGTTTCGACTGCAACACAAGCAATCATCATCAGGTGTGAAAACCGTTTTTTCTCTCCACATTTAGAATAAAAATCACGTATTTTAGAGTTTTCAGCTGCTGTAAATGTCCATGTGATGATGATAAGCCCACTTCGTTGAGCTGTGATTTGTGGTAGCCAGGTCGCTTCTGAACAAGAGCTACAGAGGTCAGTGGGACTTTACTGCTACAAAATATTTGTTTTCACTTTCGGTGGCATTAGCAAGTAATCGCAGGGCTGCTACTTTACTTTATAATATCTGTCTTAATTTGTGCAAATGTGCACATATACAATTAACTTGGATGCCTCTCTCTGTCAAGGGGTTCCGACTGGCCATGTCAGAGATAGCGGAACAGCAATGCTGAGATTCTCAGTTCCAATTACTGGGTCAGGGTGTGTCTGTCAAGGGGCTCATAAAGGGCTGTGTCGGAAACTTTTAGGCCAAGCGCTGGGATTCAATCTCTGGCTATATCTCCATTAATAGTATTTTGTTAAATAATTATAATTCCGCTTGTTTATCAGCAAAGCCTTGCCGAGTCTCAATACTCTTTTTCAGGAGGGTCCTGCCAACGCTTTTTGCTGTAGAGGACGACGACGATGATGATGACGTTGCTATGTGTGGGATCCCAATTGATAAAGAGTCTGGAGACTTTTCCAGTAGCCATGCTGGGTCTGTCCCATGACCTTCTGCTAGCTGCGAGCTTTTGACACTTCACGTGATGGCCTCAACGTTGCACCAGGCCTGGCACACAGGCGCCGCGGTGACGTCACCGCCACTTCGTGGTGAATGGCGGTTGTTGTGTGCTGGTTGAAAGAACTTGTCCCAATACCCTGTGTAGGCTACACGGTGGATCTTTGTCTTTGTGTGTGGATGTGTGTTTATGTTTTGCAGCGGTTTGCGCTCTGCGCTACGAACCTGGTGACCCGAGTTTGATTCCCGCTCACGACAAACACCAGTGACGATTATCAGAATCGGTCCCTGGGCCTCCCCTAGGTTGACTCAGCCTCAAATGAGTACCTGGTGCGGTGTGTAAACATCGCCACTGGGGAGACAAAGGCGGCCGGGCGCAGTACTGACCACCCACCCCCTCGTGTGCCGTTCCGGCCTTCATAGGTGCTACTCACTAACAGCACTTGCCCCTACAGTCTGTTAAGGCATTGCGGGGAATCTTTGTCTTTGTGTCTGTATGTATGTCTTTGTGTGCTGGCTAAAAGCACTTGTCCCAATTCCCTGTGTAGGCTACACAGGGGACCTTTGTGTGCGTGTGTGTATGTCTTTGTGTGTGTGCACATGGCCTGGCACAAGCGTCGTGGTGACGTCACCGCCACTTAGCGGCGAATGGCGGTTGTTGTTGTATGTGTATATGTGTGTATATATGTATGTGTATATGTGTGTATGTCTTTGTCTCTTTGCCTGTGCAGGTGCCCAGAGTGTTACATCGAAGATCGACCACGACAGTGAAGCGTCCGGTGGGAGCGGAGGAGACGCGAAGCTGCGCTGCGTCTACAAGGGAAGCAAGACCGCCAGACAGATAATATGGGAAAAGGAAACAAATCAAGAGCGTGTGTACATAGCAAGTCGCCATGATGATAAAAGTCACGTGTCTGATGTTACGTTACAAGAGCGCCTGACTTTCCTTGGCCAAGGAAACAACGATGCCACCATCTTAATCCGCGCGCTGCGTGTCTCGGACAGCGGAACCTACATCTGCAAATTCATGACAATGACAGGGCTTTTGGAGGCGAAGATCAACCTCATCGTGGTCGGTGAGTTCAATCGGTAGCAAAGTGGTTCGTTTCGTTGACGAGGTTAACGAGAAAAGAAAGTAGTTCATGTCATTGTTCAGAATCTTTTACTGAGGCCACAGGAGGAGGAATCCGATGAGCTGTAAAGCTCTTCTTTCACAAGCGTCCAGTAGGGGTGGGCCAGACGACCCCCTGTATAGTAGGTGAGGTAGTTAACATCTCGCCACTGTGGCAACACCCTCCTGAAACTAGGGTATGGGGCCATCCATTCAGTACGTACGCATGGAGGGGGGAGGGGGGTTAACCCAAGTGCGCACGCTTGTGTATGGGGGGTCTACTGACAATGTACTTACGCATAGGAAACGGGGGGGGGGGGGGGGTGAAGTCTCGATAATTGACATCGCGCGTGTTGACGAAATTCCTGTAACACGTCACCTGTTCGACTGGGTTCAGTCGGCGTTTGAACCTAGCGAACACTAGACACACTTATTCTTAGTTTTTTCGGTAAAGTCACGTTGAAGAGAAACAACAAAATAACAAAATATATATAAAACAATAAAAAATTCTCACGACGTTTCGACCATAACTCAAACGGTCATCATCAGGTGTGTCGGTTTGCATAATCATCAGGTGTGTCGGTTTGCATAAATTTATTTATAAATTTATTTATGCAAACCGACACACCTGATGATGACCGTTTGAGTTATGGTCGAAACGTCGTGAGAATTTTTTATTGTTTTATATATATTTTGTTATTTTGTTGTTTCTCTTCAACGTGACTTTACCGAAAAAACTAAGAATATGAATTACTGCAGTCACGAAAGCTTTAAATCAAAACTAGACACACTTGTTAAAGGTACGTAACTTAATTATTTAATGCAGCCGGCAGTGGACTATCAGTTTGCTTAAACACGTTCATATTATTAATCCTTGATCGTTTCTGCGTGGGTTAAATATCGGCTGTTCTATAGGATTTGGGGGGGGGGGAGGGGGGTGTGTAAAAAGTCCGCGTGCGTACAGGGAGGGTCGGGAGGGGTCAAGTTTTGGCAGATTTTTGCGTACGTACTAAATGGATGGCCCTATCGTAGAAATAATGATGACACGTACATCTGTTGAATAAAATAAGAACATACTGTGCCCTGCTACAAGAATGTGGAATATGAAAGTGGGGCACGGGGGTCAGCGAATTAGAACAACATCGACAGGAGAGCAACAATAAGAGAAAAAGGGTGAACAAGTCACTAAATAGTAAATATATAAAGTACATAAGTCAGATTTCCCAAAACCAATATGTAACAAGTAAGAGTGGCTGGCTACACTAGTACTGCCATGCCCCCAGGCTGTGGGACGCTTTTCCCCAACAACATTTGAAGCCCTGACTCCGTCGGTTCTTTTAAACCAGCCACTAAAAGGGGGACTGACACGGCAACAGAGCGTTTTGTTTAGGACTTTCAAGTTAGCGGGCCAGGAGAACGACATCGAGTTTCGTAGAATAATCACGACCCCTCCACGCCTCCCCCATACTCAACGGATGAATTAATTCAGGCCCCAATCTCAGCACTGCAGCCATCTCAGCAAAAAGCTCAGACAAGGAAGAAGAATACAACACACGTACATGGGGTCCATTCCTACAACCTTAGACCAGTCTTAAACACCTGAGCCTTAGACCAGTCTTAATAAATACCTCAGCCCAGAACGGCATTGACCTGGCCCAAAGAAAATCCCTTCCCCTACTCCCCGCATGCTCTGATGAGTCCGGTGTGCCTGCCTGATACCATCGATGCCCCTGGTAATGCCGTCCAGAGCAGTGGTATCCCGTTTCAATATACAGGGACTCCTCCACTTACTAACGAGTTAGGTTCCAGAGGTCTGTTCGTATGGCGATTTGTTCGTAAGTCCAACTTTACTCATGTCGATTACAAACATGTTGTACAGCGTGTACACTAAACACGGGGAATGACTAAAAGTTGTATAATCTCCTGTAGATGTAGATGCCACCGGATCTTCACGTTCTGCAGATGTAGATGCCACTGGTTCTTCACGTTCTGTAGACGTAGATGCCACTGGTTCTTCACGTTCTGCAGATGTAGATGCCACTGGTTCTTCACGTTCTGCAGATGTAGATGCCACTGGTTCTTCACGTTCTGCAGACGTAGATGCCACTGGTTCTTCACGTTCTGCAGATGTAGATGCCACTGGTTCTTCACGTTCTGCAGACGTAGATGCCACTGGTTCTTCACGTTCTGTAGATGTAGATGCCACTGGTTCTTCACGTTCTGTAGATGTAGATGCCACTGGTTCTTCACGTTCTGCAGACGTAGATGCCACTGGTTCTTCACGTTCTGCAGATGTAGATGCCACTGGTTCTTCACGTTCTGCAGATGTAGATGCCACTGGTTCTTCACGTTCTGTAGATGTAAATGCCACTGGTTCTTCACGTTTTGCTGATGTAGATGCCACTGGTTCTTCACGTTCTGCAGATGTAGATGCCACTGGTTATTCACGTTCTGCAGATGTAGATGCCACTGGTTCTTCACGTTCTGCAGACGTAGATGCCACTGGTTCTTCACGTTCTGTAGATGTAGATGCCACTGGTTCTTCACGTTCTGCACAAGATAGAGTCCCAGACCAGAGAGTGTGTGTGTGATTCTCTTAGTCGTGGCAGCTGACACCTCGATTTGAATTTTAATCCCAGGCTCTCAAGCGATGCCGGCTGAGTGTCTCCCGACTCTCTGGGCACACCCCAGCCACTTCATCTTTGGGGGTTTATTTTACATTTTTTTAAAAACGTGACCCCTGGTAAATACTGTCAGGAACGCCAGGATGTTGCAGTGTAATGACGTGAGGGGGGATGTGGTGTAAACATTTAAAACATTTCTAATAATCAACCCTTAAAAGTCCATTTTTATTTAATCGCTTTTTCCTTTTTACGGACTTTATGGAGATCATGACAAAAAATTTTAACCATTTTTTTACAATATATAGTAGCTTCCCTGGGTTCCACCAATTATTAATACAGGAGCCTATATATTTTATTTTGGTTTTATCATTTTGTTTTATCGTTACGATTGGGTTTTTCCATGTGTGTCAGTGTGTTCTTTAAACATTGTTAATTTTTAACACGTGCAACGCTTTGAGATTACTAATTTTAAATGTGCTTTATAAAACTAAGTTCCTTATGCTATTATAATCTAATAATATAATTTCACGAAGAGAACGACTCCACGAAATCCACAGCCCCCAGTCAGGGTGGCGATTACCAACTAAAATCAGCATTGAGGCAGTGTTAATCTCCAGTCTACAGGCCTGCAGAGCCAGTGGCGAAAAAAAATCCACATTTTTAGGGCAGGGCTGAGTTCATCCACGTGACAACCGCCACTGACTCGCCCACAAAGTGGTATATGTTGTATCGACCCCCGAGGGAATGGTGGGCTGAGTGAAACCCACAACCAGGTTTTGAACTCGCAACCTTTCAGATCACCAGCCGCTCCACCACCGAGCCACCTGGCAATAGCCGACGACAACAATGACGACGGCGACGACGGTGATATTACGGACAGAGACGACAACAAACCCAGACACTGTGCTCACGACCTCCGCCGCCTTGCGTCGCCATTGTTTCAGTGACGCCAGAGGTGACGTTGGCGTTGGGCCCGGCTCCCTTGGTGTCCGGTGGCGGCGCGTCTCAGCTGGCGGCGACCTGCGTAGCGGCCAACGGGAACCCCGCGGCGAGTGTAGCCTGGACCCTGAAGAACGTCTCGGGGAGCCACTTTCACTTTGACGCCATGAAGGTTGACGCGGGCACCATCATCGATCACAAAAATGGCACCATCAGCGTGACGCGGGAGCTGCGGTTGGAGCCGACGAAGGAGATGCACAAAGCGTCGCTCGCGTGCGTCGTGACGCAGCCTGGGAACAGAAATCCCATAGAGAAGATCGTCGCTCTCGACGTGCACTGTGAGTGGTGTTTCCCACTGTGCCGTGGTGCCCTATGAGATGTTAACTACCTCGCCTGGTATACAGTAGATCGTGGGTTCGATCCCGACCCCTGACGCCTGCTGTATATTTGGAGTTTGCGTGTCTCTCTCATCATCATCATCATCACGGTGGCTAGGAGATGTTAACTACCTCGCTTGGTATACAGGAGGTCGTGGGTTCGATCCCGACCCTGACGCCTGCTGTATATTTGGAGTTTGCGTGTCTCTCATCATCATCATCACGGTGGCTAGGAGATGTTAACTACCTCGCCTGGTATACAGGAGGTCGTGGGTTCGATCCCGACCCTGACGCCTGCTGTATATTTGGAGTTTGCGTGTCTCTCTCATCATCATCATCATCATCACGGTGGCTAGGAGATGTTAACTACCTCGCCTGGTCTACAGGAGGTTGTGGGTTCGATCCCGACCCTGACGCCTGTTGTATATTTGGAGTTTGCGTGTCTCTCTCTCTCCTCCCATGGTCGCGTGGATTTTTCTCCGGGTCCTCCGACTTGTCCCCTCCATATTTAGAATAACAATCATAGCGTTTAAAGTTATTTGGCTGCTAATCATTTCGATGCGATGTTGATAAGCAATTTCGTTGAGCTATAATTTGTGATAGCTATGTTGCTTCTGAAGAAGAGCGATGTAGCTCAGTGGGCCTTACCTGGTACAATAAAAATAGTTTAGTTTATAGTTTTTACAGAGTATTGGTAAGCACAAGACAATCTACCACTGCATACGGATAATAAGGGGTAAAGGCACAGCCCTGCAATTGCTTGCTCACACCACTGCTAACAGAAGGACCTCCCTCCCACTCGAGAAAAACTTGGCCTACTCTTCCACACAAACCAGATGACTTGGAAGAGGTAGGGGTACCCAAACTTAATCCCCGCGTTTGAACACTGCTGGGGACCCCCAGTGGCAGCTGTCCCTATGTGGCACAAGGTGTATGCAGTGCTGGCCTACAAATGAGAAGTTAGTCTGCCAGTACCGGGCAATGATATCGTTTCACACTTAAGATGTACCAAGTATTTTAACATCCCTGACAATGAGTTAGTTTTTAAAGCTCCACTTTTATCTATGTATGTATATTGCACTTTTATCGCGCACCGTATGAAGCCAACCATGCTAATCGAAGGTGCGGGGGTAGGACAACAAACTAAACACAAAAAGCTGTTTATAAAGAAATGAGTTTTAAATCTAGTTTTAAAAGTACACAGCTTCCAGTGGCTTCCTAATATCGGAAGGAAGAGCGTTCCAGACGGCCACAGAAGCGCATCAGAAAGCGCACGATACGGTGACCACCGTCTTTGTTCGATGGCTTAGCCGATGGCCGCTGCTGCTGCTGCGAGGATGACCACTGGAGATCACGTGATGATGGTTTAAGCTCCTTGACGAGATCAACGAGGTATTGTGGTTCCTTTGTGGCGAACACTTTGTGTGTGCGACCTTATAATCATGTATTCGTTTCGATTTAAAGCTTTCGCGACTGCAAGGATTCATCTTCTTTGGTTCTTTCGGTAAAGTCACCACGTAGAATGAGAATAAAATAATATTGTCTTATTTTATTATTTTATTCTCATTCTACGTGAAAGAACCAAAGAAGAACATGTATTCGTTGTCAGCAACCGGAAGCCAATGCAGCTCCGCGAGCACTGGACGGACATGCAGTAAATTATAATAACAAAAATAATGTAGCAAATCGTTGGTGCTAGCACCGTTAATGATGTTCAGGGCAATCACGTAGGACGGCGCGATATTTCAGAGATATAGTCTGTGGTAAATTTTTGATTTAAAGCTTTCGTGACTGCAGTAATTCATATCCTTAGTTATTTCGGTAAAGTCACGTTGAAGGGAAACAACAAAATAACAACATAACATAATAACATAACACAAACGGTCGTCTTCAGGTGTTTGTGTTATGGTCGAAACGTCGTGAGAATTTTTATTGTTTTATATATATTTTATTATTTTGTTGTTTCCCTTCAACGTGACTTTACCGAAAGAACTAAGGATATAGTCTGTGGTAGTTTCACAATGGGGGGGGGGGGGGATGTTGCTGTGTGTGTCTCTCATAGACTTAATGTTAAAGGGTCCCATAGATTTCATGTTAAAGGTTCCCATATACTTAATGTTAAAGGGTCCGATATACTTATTGTTAAAGGGTCCCATAGACTAATGTAACATTTTTGCTCTCATTTGGACCACCTCGCAAAATCAGAGTATTTATTTACCCTGGAGGAATACGATGAGCTATTTCACAGATGTCCAGTTAAGGGCATGTGGTCAGAACGTTACAACAACAAACAGTACAAAAACGGTATAGTATTGCAAAGTACAAGAAAGGTAAACAATTCATCCAAACACATACAAGTACAAAAACTAAACCATCCACATCCTACCAGGCAAAGCCCACTGAGGTATTGACTTTTGTTTCAGAAGCAGACGGGGGGCAAAGTATTGTGCGGTGAAAGCACCGGTGGTATTAAAGTATAAAATACGATATGAAATTGATTTGAAGCTTTCGTGACTGCAGGAATCCATACACTTTGGTTCTTTCGGTAAAGTCACGTGGTAGGCATATAATAAAAATAAATCACGACGTTTGCGGGCGCAACACAAGCGTCCATCATCAGGTGGGAAAGCATTGGTCTGCTGCTGAGGCAGACTGTTTAAAAATGTTTTTGAAATGGGTGTAGCCCAAGGGTCATAAAGAAGTGGCCGGGGCTAGTGATGTTAATGTGAGAAATTGGCATGTAAATGTATGACCCTTGAGCTACACCCATTTCAAACATTTTAAAACAGTCTGCCTCAGCAGCAGACCACGGCTTTCACACCTGATGATGGACGCTTGTGTTGCGCCCGAAACGTCGTGATTTATTTTATTTTATACCTACCACGTGACTTTACCGAAATAACCAAAGAGTACGATGTGAACTATTTTTATTTGACCAGGTTAAGGCCCCCACTGAGCTACGTGACTTTTTGTTCAGAAGCGACCTGGCTATCACAAATGATAGCTCAACGAAGTGGTGGCTTATCATCATCACTTGGAAATTTAGAGCAGCTAAACACTCAAAGCGCATGGCGTCGATTCCAAGGCCGTAACTATAATAAATATTGGGGGGGACACATCCTCCCCCCCCAATATTCAAATATGCTCAAAATGTCCCCCCAATATATTGCTATAAAAATATGAAAAGTAATAATAATTGCTATGCTATGTAAATAAATACAACAATCTGCTAAACCTTGGCCATCAATATCTGGACTTGTCTTCATATAAATAAATGCATAGATTTCTGTTTATATGATTGTGGTTATGGGTTTACTTTATTAATCCCTAATCTCAATCATTACATACAATGAAACAATAAATAGTAAAAAAAGTAAAAACAGAGCAATATAATACAATACACTATTAGACATTATTGTAAAATATAAATAAAAAGTCCATCCCATGTGTTAGTGAATTTTTAAAATATTTTTAGGCAGGAAATGGCAGGAAATTCGTTTTCAAATTTAGATTTTTTTCCTGGGTTGGGACTCCCAGACCCCCTGGAAGATTTGGTCCCCCCCAATGTTGACTCCATGGCTACGGCCGTGTTGGATTCTAAATGTGAAGGGCAAAAACCGGAGGTGCCTGAGAAAAATACACGCGACCACCACGGAGAGAGAGAGAGACACCGCAGACTCCAACTACAGGCAGGCATCAGGGTCGGGATCGAACCCACGACCTCCTGCACACAAGGCGAGGTAGTTAACATCTCGGCGGATTCGAAACCACGAACCTCCGCAACGGGTGGTCGAACACGCCGCCGTTGGGCGGTTTTCGTCCGAATCAGAATCGGAATGTTTGTTCATACCGGAGGAATCCGATGAGCTAAGAAGCTCTTTTTAGCAAGTGTCCAGTACGGGGCATGGGGTCAGAACGTTTACACCAACAACAAACACAACACGGAAACAGGACAGGAGTAATAGCAGTGGCGGCAGTGACAAGGGCAGGTTTGCGTATTCTACCATTCGCAGACAAGCCGGAGGTGACGGTCAGTGGAGTCACTGGCCCCATGCAAGAGGGAAGCACCAAGGTCACTCTCAGCTGTCGTGCCGACGCCAATCCCAGCGCCAAGTACTCGTGGATGAGGTGAGGGTTCTGGTGTGTCGGTAAGGTTGCCACCATGTCGTTTCTCACGATGCGACCTGATACAGTGGCTAGGAGATGGTAACTACCTCGCCTGGTATACAGGAAGTCTGGGTTTGATCCCAACTCCTGACGCCTGCTGTGTATTTTGAGTTTGCATGTTCTCTCTCTCCCCGTGGTTGCGTGGATTTTTCTCGGAGTCCTCTGATTTTTTTCCCTTCCACATTTATAATCGACGTCACGTGTTTAAAGTTATTTGGCTGCTATAAATTTCCACGTGGTGGTGATGATGATGAGCCACTTCGTCAGGCTATCATTTGTGATAGCCGGGTTGCTTGTGAAAAAGAGCTACATAAGCTCAGTGGGGCCTTACCTGGTAAAATAAAAAAAAAATCATTGTAAATAGTAATTGTAAATACGACATCGGGTTTTCACGACATGACGGTGATGGTGATACTTGCTCTCCTGTCTGCTTTCAGCGCGTACCGCGTGCGGTGCATCGCTCGCTCCGATGTCTTGCCTATCGCTCCGCGTGCTTCTCCAGAGATACACCACACAAACCGAAAAAACAATCCACACGCAGCCGGAGTGTTTCGCTATAGGTTTTCCATGACAGGCTGTTCTATAACGGCAGTAGTAGTAGTTGCCTTCCTGAAGAACCCCACGTTATACAGAACATTCGCAGCGTCATAAATATTGTAATATAGTGGGTAAAGTACGGTCCGCAATAACACGTGAGGTGCGTAACACAGGGTCGGACAAAGACCGAGGCACGTGGGTGGCGTCTGGAAGCATCCAGCAGCATCCCGCCTCGTGCGACGCTACGCCGAGGCAGCTGCTACGACTGCTTATTCCTACCTCGCACGACGCGAGTTCCGTTCGCTCGATCGCGTTATAGATCCGATTCACATCCACGTTATAAAACAATTCATTAAACGCGCTGTATCCAATTCGCATCATGAAAACAACGCGCGGCATTCCACAGGCGAACAGCAATTACTTTTGTAATTTTCTTTCATTTTCCATGCGTTGTGTGTGGTTTTATACTTCTATTTTATTTCCTTTCCGAGCTTCAGGATGAAAGAGGATGATTTAAACATTCATACTAACCGCAAGTCATGTAAAAATTAAGCTGGCCAGAGGTCGTGCAGCGCTGAGCTGGCAGTGCTCAGATTCTTGCTTTGGAATCGCAAGTTTAAGCCGCTGGTTCCCGGGATTTAAAGCGGGATCTCAAGCGGAGCGATTTGACGATCTCAGCCCTGGTCAGCGATGACTGCAGCAAAAAAAAAAAAAATGACGTTTAAAAAACAATTGCACACGAAACGTCACGGGCTATTCGAATTGTTAAATGTTGTTGTGAGTTTTACTCTCTAACACGCAACCGGTTGGTGCCATTGGTGGGATGTTAACTGCCTCACCTGATATACAGGAGGTAGTACGTTCGATTCTGACTGTGACGCCTGCATATGTGGAGTTTGCATGTTCACCCCGTGGTTGCATGGATTTTTCTCCGTGTCCTCCGGTTTTTCCCTCCACAATTAGAAACATGCGATTAGAGTATTTGGCTGCTATAAATTTCCACGTGATGATAAGCCCCTTCGTTGAGCTATCATTTGTGGCCAGGTCGCTTCTGAAAAAGAGCTATATAGCTCAGTGGGCCTTACCTGCTAAAATAAAAGTTATAATTTTAGTAATTAATTGCGACGTTTTGATCACGTGACGAGCCCATACTTAATTGGCTGTGTCAGGTGGTGGTGGCCGCGAGTTTAACGACACATTTACACCTACGCAATCTCACCCAAAGATATAATTTAAAAAAAGTATTGCTTGTGCAATTTGACTTGAATAAATTCCAGCTCCTGAGAATCAAAATAATGTGTCTGTTCCACCGTCACGTGCTACCGACGTTGCTCCCAAGTGGCACGGCGGCTGGGGGAAGTGCTGCTGCGCCCCTGACCGCGCGAGCGCCCAGAGGTCGCTCGAAGGGCATCTCGGAGGTAGCTCTCCGACGTCCGCTTCCGCGGATCGTTCTCTCATGCGATGGGGGGGGGGGGGGGGGAATTTTGTGAACGGCTTCTTCATCTCTCGCCATGACGCCGGAGTTTGTTGACCTTCTTCGCCCCGCACCTCCGATTGGCTACGTACGGTGGGAAAGAAGTTCAATATGCATACATAACATACGTGACAACATACATAGCAACATACAGAACACGTAACATACATACTAACATACGTAACAACATACACAACATACGTACAACATAATACATACATAACATACGTAACATACAACTACATACATAACATTCGTAACATATATACAACATATATAAAATACGTTAAAACATTCACACGGGGTAAACCTGTGTGGGCGTGGAGGAGGAGGGGCGGGGGGTGGGATTGGGCAGAATTTTAACAAAAAATGTGTTTCTGATGTTATCGCTTCTGTTGCGTTGTCGTTGTCTTTTGCAGGAATGGTACGCATATGAATGGCTCTGACCACAGCACGCTGACTCTAGATCGTGCTGTGAGTAACTCCGGGATGTACCGGTGCATTGCTGTGAACTACATGGGCTCGGACGCTGGCGAGATCGAAGTCAACATCACCTATGCGCCCGCTCAGCCCACCACCGTGCCAACCACCACGCCACTATCAGGTAACTGGTCTAACACCGTTTGAGACTAGGCTCGAAAGAAAGCTGTCTCTGGTGTGGACCAATGGGTTTCAAAGACAATGCATCATATATTATCAGACGATGTCTTTTGTTTGCATTCTGACCACAAGTATTGTGGTTAATGCAGACATGATTCCTTGTAAAAAGGTTTCAATTGGGTGTTTTAACATCTTAACATAGCTGTTTTGTTGCCAGTAAAAAAGGGGGAAAACCTATTCTCATATTTTGGTCCTGGTAAAGGAGGTCCCATGATGTAACTGGGAAATCGTTCACTTGGCGAGTCGCCGACATCCAGCGATTGAATGAATTAAATTTGGATTAGACTTAATTGGGAACTCCACGTTGTCAATCTCCTGCTTGGATCTGAGTGCTCTTCGGCACCGGAATCGCAATCAAGACTCCCATCCTCAAGCCTTGTCTCTTCAAGCGGAGTCGCGATGAAGTCTTATACTTACTATTATGCAGATAACTCACTATTACAAATGTACTATTTTATTTTACCTAGTGTAAGGCCCCACTTAGCTACACAGCTCTATGTCAGAAGCGTCCTGGCCACGAATAATAGCTCAACGTAGTAGCTCATCGTCGTCATGTGGAAATTTATAGCAGGAAAATCATATAAACGCTTGATGCCGATTCTCAATGTGGAGGGAAAAACCTGATGACCCGGAGAAAAAAATCCAGGCTACCACGGGGAGAGAGAGACACGCAAACTCCAAATATACAGTTACCATCAGGATTTCATGTTAAAATTTATAGCAGTAAAACAATATAAATAATCTCAATGCACGTTTCTACATGTGGAGGGAAAAACCGGAGGTCCCGGAGGAAAAAATCCACGCTACCACGGGGAGAGAGATACACGCAAACTCCAAATGTAACAACAGGCGTCAGGGCTGGGATCGAGCCGACAAACTCTTGTATTGCAGCCGAGGTTAGTTAACGTCTACCTAGTCAACCGTGGTGCCTCCTTTCCCCACGTCAGGCACAGGTCTGAGAGTAAGCGATGGACCAGGATCTCTCGTTTGGATAGGGGCCGGACTTGGACTGCTGATCATCGTCATGGGCATCGCCGTCGGGGTCTGTGTCATCATGAAGAAGAGGATGAAGAAGAGCGCGAATGGGTGAGCACGAATGCCTGGCCGCTCTTGGGGGCCTGGGTTGAGCGACCCGTGATGTCAATAGAAGTGGACGCATTGGCGCCAACACGTTGTGCAGCATCACACACCCGCTCCTCGTGAAACAGTAAAAACAAATCTAAATCGGTCTTTTGACTCCTATCGCTAAGTTTAACGCAATTCGGTCTACTGAGACTAGCTAAAATAAGTAATATTTTAAAAAAACTTTTCTAAAAACACGCTTTAATTAAATGTACTAGTAATGGAAGAACTCCACGACTCCAGGAAGTGGCCCCGAAGCTTGCCATAACGTAAGGGGACCGTGGCCAATCACAGCCAACGTCAGTTGACCGTGGACAATTAGACCCAAGCCGAAACATAACATATAAAAAAATAATGTTTAAAAATATATGCTTTCTATTTTTATGATAGAATATAGTATTGTCATCAGTATGACATAAGTATACCAAGTTTGCAGTCGATACCACATTGGGAAGTGGGTTAAAATTGAGTTACAAGATTTGAGGATACAACAACGACAACGACGACAACGACAACAACAACAACAACAGACAGAGTGAGTTAAATGAAAGCGTGTTAAAAAAAAAGAGGTCAATATTGACCGTTGATTTGGGATCCCGTTGAATCGAGGAACTGTCCCGACCAAGTGGAGGGCACGACAACAAAATTGTCCCCCTCGGGAACACTGAGCCAGCCAATGGTCATCGTGGCGGGGGTTGCTGTGCGGCAACAGGCTGTGTGTGCGAAGCTTCGCGTGTTGGAGCCGCTCTTTATGAACGGTTCCGTCTTCCGACCTGCTACGATGTTGCGGGAACCGATTTCGGCGCGCACCACCAACAACCCCCGCGAGATTCCGTGACCGGGATTTTGCGAGGCATGGGGAAACAAATTAACATTGCACGAAAATCTCGTTATATTCATTAGATTATATATATCATTTCCAATGTATTCTTATATTTTTAGTAATTATTCTTTTACATACCGTTCATTGCCGATGTACCGCCTAACTCGTTCAAATGCATTTGAGGGCCTTCACTCGACTGGACGCTAACATGCACGCTTCTTCTGCTGCATATTGTGTCCCCCCCTCTTTCTTGTCGCCTGCAGGCTGGGCGACGTCCACTTATCGCGAAACACGGAGGTGAGTTTGTCTCGCGCAGCCATCGCGGGAGATTCCGCTCGAGCCGAACGCAACCCAGCGTATGGACACGGTCGTGCGCAGGCACGCGTGACGCCTCTGTTGCCAATCCACTGCTGGATGAGGGGGCCCCCTCCCCGCCCTGTGCTGTGTGGTTCGTTGAGGGGGTGGTGTCTGTTTGTCCTTACTTCAGCACGTTGGACAGTGTGGGTTTGGTGAAGGTTGGTGAGCATAGAAGCGTCAGGTCGATTCCTGACCACGGTGAACGTGTCGTGGCGACTGGTACCGAAACCGGTCCTCCCCGTTCCCTAACACCTTCACTGAGACGGGGGATGAGATGTTAACTACCTCACCTGGTCTGCGGGAGGTCGCTACACCACCGCCTCCCACAATGAATCACACGCGCACAAACGCACTCGACTTGCAATCCAGAGGTCGCCGGTTCGATTTGACCTCCCAGCGCAGCAGCTGAAAAAACAAGGGGAGGGGGTGGAACTTTCTCAAATCGGCCACCGCCTTTGCCCACCCACCATGATGAGTGACTTCACCGCGGTCGGCCGATCGGCAGGTCGTGTGGGGGCACAGCATGGGTGGGGTGTAACCCGGAACCTCTTCCAAGACGGTCTGGCCAAGAGTGGAAGAGTAGGCCAAAATTACCCCCTTCGGAGAGGGCTCCCTACAACTCACCACTGCTGCCTAGCAAAGGCCCCATCTGCCGGCCAGTGGCGTGAGCAAGCGACTGCAGGGCTGCGCCCTTACCGAGCCTTTTAACCCTTCGCACAAAGTGGAAACGTTGCTTTGAAACGTCCCTGCTTCTGCCAAATGCTTTATCTGTTGCTTTTCTCCTTGCCCCCCCCCCCTGCCTCACCACCCACCGTGTGCTTCTCCCACGTGCTTCCCCCCCCCCACGTGCTTCCCCCCCCCCCACGTGCTTCCCCCCCACGTGCCCCCCCCCCCCCACGTGCCCCCCCCCCCCCCCCCCCCCCGTGCTGCCGTCTTGTCTTTCAGAACAAGCCGCTGGCAGCGGCATCGCTTAGCGCTCACTGTTATGACGTCGTGACGCCCGCGGCCTCTTGCTCCAAGAAGCTGGTGGGTTGAGGCAGAGAAGAGGCTCTCACCCAGAAGCCCGGGTCCAGTCGCGCGCACTGCTCGGCACGCAACTGCAGAGCATGGGAAGCGAGAATCCTTTACATCGTTTAGACCGCAAGGAGAGGGAATCCGATGAGCTACGAAGCTCTTTTTGTCGTTCACAGATGTCCAGTAAGGATGGGGGGGGGGGGGGGTCGGCAGGTTAGAACGAACTAGATGAATAAAGCGACAGGAGTGCACATTAGAGAATAGGTGAGCGAGTCGCTCACAAACAAATAAGTATCCATTGATTCGTAGCGACGCCTTTTCATCGCCATGTGAGCACATTTGCCAACTCCGCAGCGGTGGCTAGGAGATGTTAACTACCTCGCCTGGTATGCAGGAGGTCGTGGGTTGGCTCCCGAGCCTGACTCCTGCATTATATTGGGAGCTTGCGTGTCTCTCTGTCCCCGTAGTCGCGTGGATTTTTCTCCGGGTCCTCCGGTTTTTCCCACCACATTTAGAATAAACGTCACGGGTTTAGTTGTATTTGGCTGATGCGATACATTTCCACGTGATGATGATGAGTCACTTCGTTGAGCTATCATTTGTGGCCAGGTCGCTTCTGAAAAAGAAGTTAATAGCTCAGTGGGCCTTACCTGGTAAAATAAAAAGTGTATTTTTACTCTGCACTCCTATCGTGTTTTTTTTGTATTGTTGTAACTTTCTGACCCCCCGTGTCCCTACTGGACATCTGTGAAAAAAAGAGCTTTAATAAAGATTTTGATTCTGTGGCGATAACTAAAGATATAGCCCATGCGATATAGCATCACAGCGTAACGCTGGACTCACCCCAGAAGTCGCCAGTTCGATTCCATCTCCCGGTACTGCAGTTAAGGCTATGCAGGGTAACTTTTCGTCTGCTGGTCAACAGCACTTGCCCCAAAAGTCTATTAAGCCTATACGGGGTAGCTCCGTATTTGTGTTTGCTGCTTAACAGCATTTCCTCCAAACGTCTGTTAAGGCTATACGGGTTAACTTTGGCTTTGTGTGTGTGATTGCGCAGATCGTGGAGACGGAAATCACTTACGCAGAGTTGGACCGTGCAGCACTGCATCGCGGTCAGAGATCGGCCCAGCATCAGCCTCAAGTCCAGCAGGACAGCACCATCTATGCTCATATCGTGCACGGACGCTGAGCAAGCGCGCGTGCGCGCGCGTGTGTGCGCGCGTGTGTGCGTGCTCTCACGGGACAGCACTTGTCTCAGTCGCCCGCGTAGGCTGCATGGGGGAGATGTGTCTGTGTATGTGAGTGTGTTTGTGTGCAGGATGGAAACACTTGTCCCAACATCTCGTGTAGGCTAGAATTGGGGGGAGGGTCTTTGTATGTACAGTAGACTCTCGATTATCCGCGCTAATGACGGGGGAGGATGGCCACGGGAATTCCAAATCGCGGATAATCCAAAAATATAACCATTTTTCGCGGATCTCAATGCCAAAAACCACTAATATAGGGATATAAATTATGTTTAAGCTAATAAAATGCCTTCTTTGGTTCTTTCGGTAAAGTCACGTAGAATGAGAATAAAATAATACATTGATAAAATAAAATAACGCAATAAAATTCTCACGAAAGCTTTAAATCGAAATCTAATCAAATGTATTTTTTTTTAATGAACAAAACAAAAATTTGTAGTAAAGAATCGACCGATCGATGCACGTGCTCAAGTGAAAACACTTTCCTGCTCCCGCAAAGCAGAAGACTCGGCCCACTGAGTGGACAGCAGAGCCACAGCCAATCAACATCAATCAAACCCTGCCCGCTGTTGTAGACATATGCAACTACTGTACTGTAGAGGCGATCGCGTGGATTTCGGGTTAACCGGCGCGCCTACAGGTGACCCCCGACTTACGACGGCTCGACTTACGACCCCGCCCCCCACCCAGCCTTTCTTATAGTCAGTAAGACCCCCACAGTAACGAACAAAACTCGTATCTACGCCCGCCTAACGACTGCGATGACGCCGAGTCGATTGGCAAGGAGTCTGTGCATGTTATGCATGTTAGGCGTGGACTCCTAGTGTAGTGTATAGTAGTGTATAGCGCACATGTCATGCGCAGACTCGTCGCCTGATGGTGCTGCTTTGCTCTTCCGCCGTATGTGTATGCATTGTATAGCCCGTCAGTATGCAGCTGCCCCTAGAGCAGGGGTGGGGAAGCTTTTTTCTGCCAAGGGCCATTTGGATATTTATAACATCAATCGCAGGCAACACAAAATTATCAACTTCAAAATTATCCAGTTATATTTGGTCAAACCTTTAATGAACTCACCCCTAATGCGATGGGCTGGAACTGCTTCTCTTTGGCGAGGCGTGTGATGTTCGCTGGTATTGATGATGTTATCTGGTATTGATGATGTTGCTACTCGCAACTGCTTTCCCAGGTTTGCTTCTAGATGTATTGAATTTCGAGTCCCGCCTGCGGTTGCCTTGTCAGGGCCACACCAAATGATTTCGCGGGCCGTATAAGGCCCTCGAGACGGACGTTCCCCACCCCTGGCCGAGAGCGACCGCAGCGGCGTCTCTCTTTGTAAATTTTCTTAAAATTTTGAAATATTTTAACCTTTGGCTACTACTTCTGAGAAGAGGAAATGTGGTGCACATGCAGAAAAGTACTTAAGAAGTTTGAAATGTGCTCGTTTTTACTTAAATGCTTGTAAAAGTTATGTTGTTACAATGTTTTTTTAGGGTTATTTTCATTTATTTTCGCGGTCAATTTTGGTATTTTTATGGCATGTAATGGGTTTCCAGGAACGAAACCCCAATGTATAACATTGCGTTTTATGCGAGATGAGGATTCAACTTACGACGAGATGAGGATTCGACTTACGACGACTTACGGCGGCTCTCGACTTGCGTCCAGGAACCGATTAGGTCCGTAGGTGCAGGAGTCGTCTGTATTTGTTTGGTTTAAGCACGTGACTTACAAGAATAACAATGTATAACTGTTTTTAGATTATTAATTTGGGCTGAAGGGAAAGTCCATGAGTTATTAATTTACGTCAAAATCTCGGATGCACGGTTAATCCGCAAATCGGATAAACCCAGGAGCGGAGCCACAGGGGGGTTTGGGGGGAAGGCTTAGCCCCCCTGAAATTTTGGGAAAGTCGGTAATCGGGATAACCGGATATCCGGCTGCTGCAAAATGCTGCAGGCTGCCACCTTGTGCTGCCCTGCAGGCTGCCACCTTGTGTGCTGCCCTGCAGGCTGCCACCTTGTGCTGCCACCTTGTGTGCTACCCTGCAGGCTGCCACCTTGTGTGCTGCCCTGCAGGCTGCCACCTTGTGTGCTGCCCTGCAGGCTGCCACCTTGTGCTGCCACCTTGTCCTGCCCTGCAGGCTGCCACCTTGTGTGCTGCCCTGCAGGCTGCCACCTTGTGTGCTGCCCTGCAGGCTGCCACCTTGTGTGCTGCCCTGCAGGCTGCCACCTTGTGCTGCCACCTTTGGCTGCCCTGCAGGCTGCCACCTTGTACTGCCCTGCAGGCTGTCACCTTGTGCTGCCACCCTTGTGCTGCCCTGCAGGCTGCCACCTTTGTGTGCTGCCCTGCAGGCTGCTTGAGCGGCAGCCTTTCGAACTTATCGAACTTATTAGCCACGTCAGCGGCTCCGACCTATTAATAAACTCCGCGTTCAAATCCAATAAAATTAGTTTTATACATTTGTGGCGCCCATTGGAAAAACATACACTGGATATCTCAGAATATTAAAGTAGCCCCCCAAAAGTCAAAATCCTGGCTCCGCCCCTGGATAAATCGCATGCGGGTAATAGAGAGTCTACTGTGTATGCGTTTGTGTGCTGGCTGAAAGCACTGTGGGTATATACTGTATATGTCTATGTGTCCTTATGGGAAGCGGTGGCGCTTAGCGCACTGCATCGTGATCAATAACAGTGGTGCATATTTCAACTGCTCTGGGGCCTCCCATAGGTCAACTCAGCCTTAAATGAGTACCCTGTGCAGTGTGTAGTAAACATCAGCACTGGGGAGACAAAGGCGGTCGGGCATGGTGGTATTGACCACCTACCTTCCCCCCCCTCCCCCCCCGTGTGCTGTGCCAGCCTTCATCGGTGGCACTCGGCAACTGCGCTTGCCCCGAAAATATGTTAAAGGCTTTAGGGGGATCTTTGTCTTTGTGTGGTCGCTGAAAGCACTTTCTCCGACAGCCTGTGCATGCTACATGGGACGCATGCATGAATATTGAACTTCTCTTGTTCATCGTACGCAGCCAACCGTGCAAATCGGAAGTGCAGGCTCTCACTGCACAGAACTTGCTACTGTAATCTATCGGGTGAAATTAAGGGTATGTGTGTGTGTACACCACTGTGTAATGCGTGTGGAGTGGCGGGTATGGTGAATAGATAACTGTGCTGTGATGCACATCAGTGACAAGCCAACTTTGGGTTCTGGGCCTCCCCTATGTCGCCACGACCCTGTACGACGAGTATCTGGTACACTGTGTACACCCGGCCACTGGAATCGACTTCCCCTGTACATTAAGCAGTCGCCATCCTTAACCTACCTTCTGTGCCTCTCTCCAAGCCTCAACTCTTCCTCGAGTGCCCTATCCCCTTCCTCTCACCCCTCCACCCCGTCCCGTCCCTCCCATATCGCCCCTTTCCTGACCCCCCCCCCCCCCCCCCCCCCCCCCACGTGTGCTCCCTCTGTTACGGTAGCTCACTGCACCTTTAGGTAAGTTGCGCGCTATAAATCATCATCGTCATCAATCTATACATATAAAATGGACATTTGTGAATACGTGTGTCTGTTCGAAATTGTTTAGCATACTTCCTAACATGCAACAAACTTGAAATATGGCATGTGGGTAGCTTCCAGACTGTACACAATGCAAAAAGTATAAAAATAGACTTTTGTATTTTGGGGGGGCGGGGGGGGGCGCAATAATGGATACATTTTGCACGGCAAGTGATCGGTGACGTCACACCTGTGATGTCACCCGCATGCGGCAGCGTCACGCAGTGTGCCTGCTGACGTCACGCACTCCCCCCCCCCCCGACCCTCCGCCGTAGGTCTTGTATTAATCCAAGACAAGAATCCAAATCCCGGGCGAAGCCGGGTAGTAAAGCTAGTATAGAATAAGAGAACATAACATGAGCATGGGTAGCTAGGGGCGTGTGGTGCTGGCCACACTACCTCTTCCCCAGCGCTGTGGCGGGTTAGCAATAGGTGATCGGTAACAGCACTGACGTCCACGCATCTCAGCCGTCATGAGCTTCCGAGGTCAGGCACGTTCTCGAGTGATTACGTCAAATGTTGTCATTGTTATGCATAATTTTTGCAGTATTCTACGCTGGATTATTGGGTCTTAAAGTCATGTAAATGTTGTACTGCGAAGTGCGTTTCTAATGCTGTATATTTTTTGACATTGACCGTTGCATTTCACCACCGGTGACGCACAAAACGTTGTTTCACTTTTTGAAAGTCGCTTCTTTTTAATACTTTAGGGGTGCAGCAGTTTCCCCCCAGGTTATGCTTATACAAAAAAATAGTTTCTAAAATATATAGAAACTATTTTTTTTACTAAAAATTTTCAGTGTTATGGATTTTTTTGGGGAGAGGGGAATTCAATTCTGGGAAATATTTCTGTTGAATTTTTTTCTTAAGATTGTTTTCTTTTTTTACGATAAAATTATTCTGCTCTATTAGCTATATACGATTTGTTTTGGGATTGTATCGCTTCTGGTGTTTGATCGGCGCTCTGTTCCAATTGCTCGGAGCCTTTCAACGAACTGATTTGGTTCCTGAAAGAAGCTTCCGGCAAGAGGAGTGAAACTTCGGGATATCCTAACAAATAAAAAAAAAGATATCAACAACATATTCATGAACGTGCACTTATTTCTGCTGAATCGGACTCTCTGTTCGATCGAGAACTCGGCAGGTGGTGAGCCACAGCTCAAAGTCCCACGGACATTAGCCTGAACCGGTGAGAACCTGAACTGGTGAGCAACTGAATGGGTGAAGGAAAGTCCCCGGTCTTCGCTGCCTGAACTGGTGATGACCTGAACTTTCGAGTGACTGAATGGCTGAAGGAAAGTCCCTGGTACATCGGCCTGAACTAGTGAGTGCCTGAACGGGTCGACAACAAACGCCCCTGAGGCGCATGCAACGCTCTAAGGACCTGCAGCTTCATGACGTTATTTATGGAGGACCACCAGCGTCTCGTATTCGCCACACAGTGCACTGCGGCTCTTTCAAATATTGAGCTGCTTTTACATGGATTTAGAAAAAAATGGCGAAAGTTATTTGGTTGCCGACCCCTGACCTAGACAGATAAGTGCCTGAACGGACGAGGCACTGAACGGACGAGGCACTGAACGGACGAGTGCCTGAACGAACGAGTGCCTGAACGGACTAGGCACTGAACGGGCGAGTGCCTGAACGGACGAGGCACTGAACGGACGAGTGCCTAAACGGACGAGTACCTAAACGGACGAGGCACTGAACGGACGAGGCACTGAACGGACGAGTGCCTAAACGGACGAGTACCTAAACGGACGAGGCACTGAACGGGCGAGGCACTGAACGGACGAGTGCCTAAACGGACGAGGCACTGAACGGGCGAGGCACTGAACGGGCGAGTGCCTAAACGGACGAGGCACTGAACGGACGAGGCACTGAACGGGCGAGTGCCTGGACGGACGAGTGCCCGAACGGACGAGTGCCTGAACGGACGAGTGCCTGGACGATTGAAGGCCTAGACGGGTGAGTGCTTCAACGGCTGAGAGCCGTGAGCTGTCTCTTGAAGGTGGATGATGGTACTTGAACGCTGTGTGCGGATACAATCCGAAAGCGCACGCAAGTGAACAATGTGACACGATATTTCCCGACGGGTTGTAAGAGCAGCGCTTTAATTTTTTTTTTACTTTACACGGATATGTCATCAACCTATTCGCTGTACTGTTATGAATGCCGGCAAACTCAGTAATCCCTCACAAGACTTAAAAGGCTCGTAGGACATGATCCCAATGGGATCCAAAGAAAATTCAAGTGCTGATTAATTACAGGTGTGCGTGTCTGTGTATGAGAGAGTGGGGAGCTGTAGCGTGGCGAGTTAGTGCGCTGCGTTTACAACCCAGCCTCCAGACTTCGATTCCCGCTCATGGCCAACACCAGTGACGAATTAATTGAAACGGTAATGGGTCTCCCCTAGGGCGACTCAGCCTCAAGTGGGTACCTGGTGCGATGTGTAAACATCGCCACTAGGGAGACAAAAGCGGCCTGGCGTGGTGCTGGCCACCCACCCCGTC